CATTGCCAGAGGTCACCTCTCCCCCACCCCCTCTCCAATAAGAAAAAATACTACCTTAATTTTACTATGTAGGGAAAAAAAATGGTTGTTTTATATTGTGTATTTTAGATTATTAAAAGTGTTTTGGTAACTTTGCTGTGCCGATCCTCTTTTTTTGTACTTGTATGCACTTTTATCATTTTTACTCTTCCTGGCTTTTTATTTTGTTCCATTACTCAAAGAAATCCGAGGTGGGAATCATACCATCAGGGCTTTATCAATAGAGCAGTGTTCCTGCTCTATACTTGTGAGTATTATTTTATTTATTTTTATCATAATTGAGAGCACCATTGTTGCCTTTTTTATTTTCTCTGGAACCTTAGATGACCAGCCGGTGCTGATAGACGCACTTTCTTCATATATCCCACAAGCGGGGATTATACCACCGTATGCCCTTCACACCAGAGCCAGCAATAGCTCTTTTAAATGTGAGTTTTCTACCTCCTATTACTACTTTGCACTCTGGATTTTAGATTTATTACACTATTGGTTGCTTCTGTCTCCTTTCTTCTTTCATATATACGAATACCCTGAGACATTCAAATGCACCTACTGAAGAGTCTATTCATCCACAATTTATCCAATACTCCTGGTAATCTTTTGTTGTTCTAGTAAGACTTTTGGGACTATTTAATGTTACTTTATTGGCGTAGCCCTACTCCATCTTTTTGTATTGTTTTATCAATCTGTTGAAGGATTTGAGGGGTCTCCTTCGTTTGGGTTGTCTTTATTGGCGTAGCCCTACTCCATCTTTTTGTATTGTTTTATCAATCTGTTTAAGGATTTGAAGGATCTCCTTCGTCTGGGTTGTCTTTATTGGCGTAGCCCTACTCCATCTTTTTGTATTGTTTTATCAATCTGTTGAAGGATTTGAGGGGTCTCCTTCATTTGGGTTGCTACCCATTTACATTTTTGTCTGTGTTGGGAATAATACATTTTGCCTATATTTACCCAGGGCTTAAGATACAGATGACAGGATGTTCAGTCTGTTTGAAATGATTAAACGATGTCAGCTATTTGCAATAACGTATTTTATCTATATCCAATGCTTAGTGAGTATACCCCTAGACAATAAAGAGCTGTTTAATATCATGTAACAAGTAATAGGTGTTAAGAGCTGTAGAACATCATGTACCATGAGATATGTGTTATATGCTGTAGAACATCAAGTATCAAGTCACAGGTGTTATATCCTGTATTCTTATGTCTGTCGGCCTTATTTCCTCCTTTGATCATAACTGCATAGTGATATGATTTTAGAACTTAGTAGTAAATATCTTTAATTCGTAGTACGCATGCATATTAGTTTGACGTGTGCAGTTATAGTGAAACTTAGCTTTGAGCAAGGTCCGAACATGAAGATACAGCTGCAAGCTTGCTATAGGTTAAGATAAGATACATGATTTTATTAGGATTGGATAATGCTCGTAACGACCACCCCTGTTTCCTGCTGTATAAAACATGTTACACTGCTCATTAAAAGCTCAGAAGTCACTTTGAACCTTGTCTTGTATTGTTCATTGGGGCTACTCACCATATGGTTTGGGGAAGAGGAGAAATACAGAGAGTTACAAATTGATACAAAAGGCCATGGCAAGGGAAAAGGCCGGACAGAGAAAATTCCTCACTATCAGTCTGTTAACTAACGTGACTTCCTGTTGTATTTTGTGTAATTAATTACAGTTTGGTGTTTAGGGAACAAACCCTGTGTATTTGTATATATTGTCTATGATGCAGACAGGAATGTGAAGCAGACAGCTTGCAGCTGGGTCCATTGAGTAAGCACACAGAAGGGTAATCCAAGCTCCCCAAAACTGCAGGGCAATCCCTCTATATAGCAGACTCAAACTGTAAGTAGTTAACATGTGATTTACAACACTTTCACCTTACCAGATGTTTTTTTTTTTTTTACTCTTACGCCACTCTTTGTGATTTACTTACTGTAATGTCATCATATCCTGTGATGTCATGCATGTATAATTAATTATGCAAATTATTTTTTTCAAAGAAAGGTGAGAACCCTACCTCCATTTCACTAGATTAGTAAAGGGAATACTTTAAATGACGATTTACTGCTATTGACAGGTAAACAATAACAAACAGTATTTACATATTCTTACTAATTTAATTTGCAGCAATCTATCATATAGCTATATTAGATCTATACATGCATATTTATTGATGCATTTACTGTATATACCTAGTTTAGGAAACTACTGGTAAAAAACATTCTTATTATACGTTACACATTGTTTGGTGTACTTTGGAGAAATTGTAGTCATTCCTATTCCCAACCATGGAATATAGTTTTATTGTATCACAGTAGAGCAGTGATGAGGACTGATGGTAATAGTATTGTAGAATGTATGTGCTAATCTTGTAAGTTCCTCGTAGTGGTTATGGTGCCTTTGCCACTTCCATCATGTTTGCAGGTCTCCTACCACTAGCATTCCAAAAGTTCACCATCAGATTTTATCAGATGTTTAAGTATTTAGGATAACATGTTTTAACAGGTCAATGAACAACTCCCTGTGGCCGTTTACATACATTGCAGTTCTCCCCCTGTAGGTTGTTTGCTTTAGATATTGCTACAGAATTGATCCGAAATTGGAAATGACAAATTCTTAAAGGAACATTCTGGACACCCTAAAACACTTTAGTTTGCTGAAAAGCATTATGTGTGAAGATTTTGCCTCACATTTTCATTTTAGAAAAGGTGCAGATTTCAATTTAAAAAAAAATACAATTTTATAAATTATACTGATTACAACCTCCCTGGTCTTCCTAGCAGACACCAGGTCCTGTAACTTCCTGGTTTGGTTAGCTTATTTGCACTGAACTCAAAATGGAACAATAGCCCAGAGCACCTGCCTTGCAAAGACTTCTTCTCATTGAGCTGCATTTGGAAGTCTGTTATTGGACAACCAGAGAATGTCTGGGCGGGGTAAGAAGGGGAGGGCTTGCAAAGGCAGCAGGCAAGATAGTTCAGTTTTTGCAAGCTGTTTTTAGATATACTCCAATAAAAAAAATGCATAATTAAATGCATGCAAGTTTTAATTTGGGGTATATCTACTAAACAGTGATTGATATTTATTTTGTATTTTGGCAGTGGAGTGTCTGTTTAATCTAAATACAATGCACAAAGCATTAAAACCTCAAGTTATAGTTTGAAAGTTCCTTGATATACTTTTAACTTTTATTTTTATATCTGAAAGTGGCAAGTCAAGATTTCCCTATTTTTAGCATTCAAAAACACACTTTCTTAATTCAATTTGATTTTCCAGTGCAGTTTTGTATGGTAATCCTATTCATGAAATCTGTAGTAGCAAACACAGAGAATGCTATTATTTATGGAAATTAACCACACTGCATCTGACATATCTTTGTTGACAGATTTTTTTTAGCATGCAAATTTATGATGTGCATATGGAGACTTTTAGAATATCTATGCACTGATTATCACTGTCAGCTTCCAGATTAAAGCACTCTATATCTTCGCAAGTCTGCATTTAACGATGAATACAAAACAATTAATTAATTCAATAAATAAACCATGGGATAGTGAATAGAAACAAGATAAATTCTAACACTTTCTAAAGACCACTTATGGCATGTTTACCTGGTTTTACCAGTAGGAGCAGGGCAGCTCTGCTGTAGTTCTGTTTTTAATCATTCTCTGATATTACATTAAAGGGATTCTATAGTGCCCTCCTCCCGCAGCACTGAAGTGTTAAAACCCCTTCAGTCACTTACCTGAATCCAGAGCCGATGTCCCTCAGCGCTGAGTCAGGCTCCTCCCCCGCCGCTGGTGGGGGAGATCTAATGCGCATGCATGGCAATGGCTGCGCTCACATTAGGATTTTCCTATAGGGAAGCATTAATCAATGCTTTCCTATAGGGATTCCGGTGACGCTGGAAGTCCTCATGCATAGCGTTATTTAGGCGACCAAAAGTGACCTATATACCCGGAAGTCCTTTTAGTGGCTGTCTAGTAGACAGCCACTAGAGGAGGAGTTAACCCTACCGGTTAATTATTGCAGTTTCTTAGAAATTGCAATAATTACCACTGTAGGGTTAAGGGTTAAGGGACATGGGACATTGCACCCAGACCACTTCAATGAGCTGAAGTAGTCTTGGTGCCTACAGTGTCCCTTTAAGGATGGATTCTGTGCTAAATAAATAAATTAATCTCTTTTCAAACATTCATTTGTAAGCTTTCCAGTTCTTTTCAAAGGATACATGTCTTTATAAAGATACCTCAGCCTCTCAGGATGATCTAATTATATCATATCTGTTATAGATTTATGTTATTTGAAAATGTTTATTTAAAGCTTATAGAATGAAAGTGTAAAATCACAGGCATTGTGTACATATGTGTTTGTATGCATTTGTTTGTATGCTTAAAGGATCACTATAGTGTCAGGAAAACAAACTCGTTCACAACTACTAAGTTCACAAAACAAAATGTAACTTTCTAACAAAAATAACATCCAAAATATTGTGTCCGTCTATCTCGAGCACCAGAAAAGTAAGGATTGATTCAGAATCGGTACAATGTCATAAAATAGAGGCCACCTGGGGGGCGGGGCTTGACTGGCTAGCCGAACGGGCGCATGTTGCACAAGCTCCTGAGCTCAACAAGCTAAAACTACCCTTACACGAAGTCAAACAGCGGAATCTACCGCAAAACTCGCAGGCTACAGAGAGGGGATCGCGGGGATACGAACGATACTAAACCCGGAACCTTTTGGGTCCGGAACACCGCACCTCAACCTTTTGTGGCCTACAAGCGCATCAGGCGTTGGAGAGATGGCCGCTCTCCAGCGTCGAATATTGCTAAGCATGGCGGACTTCTACCTCCTCCCCCCCCCCATGGACCGGCGGGGGTCATCCCGGTCCCATGAGGCTCCCCACCACTGCACCCAATGCCTACCGGGCAGTATCACGGAGCGACTTCCAAGATGGCGGGCAACACAGGCAGCCCCACAACCAAGGCCTACCTTGCAGCTTCTCAGGCACAGCTAAACTTAATCTTCGACAGATTCTGGGCAAAATTGGCAGGACGCCAACTGGACACACAGAAGCCCGACCAGCCCAGACCCACTAAACACGCAGCACCACCAGGCAGTCAGACGAAAAAGCGGCGCCCCCACAAGATGAAGCAATCTCTGATAAAACTCACACCTACCGCACCACGGAGGCCTGGAACACACAGTAAAAGTCAAGTGGCAGTGGGAAGCAAGGACAAGTTCCAAACAAACGGGACTCTGACATCCACAGCTCCACAAGATGGCGGATCCTTATGCAGGGACGCAATGTGGCACTCAGCTGCAGCACAGCCTCACACTTCTATAGAGAGTATATCTCTGCATAAAGCTGCAGAACGACCAATGATCTCCTCACAGACTGGGCATTGGATGAGGGAATGAGAAGACCCGAGCTGCCTGATGGCACATTAAAGTGCTGACACTGGCACAGAGGACATTACAGACCCTGTTTAATGTGGTGGACTCCTGTTACTAAACGACTTTTACAATCTGACGTTAACCTATAGAGTTAACGTGTACAAAAGCATGATCTAACATACAACTAACTAAGCTTGTTTGCACTGTAAACTCACTATTAACCCCTTAAGGACTGAGCCAAATGTGCACGTTGTGATCAAAACAAAATGTAAACAAAAACTCGAATTTGCGCTAAATGTCTGTTCAGGCGTAATTCGCCTCTTTCATATTATACATATGCGCTGTTCGGTCCGCCCCCTATGTTATCATTGAGTAAACGTTGACCCTGTACCTCACATTCCAGCCAATCAGCAGACCCTCCCTCCCACCTCCTGGACAGCTCACTAAGAATGCAGCTTCACAATGAATGTAAAATGGATGCTGTCCAGGAGGTGGGAGGGTCTGGGAGGGAGGGTCTGCTGCTGATTGGCTGGAATGTGTCTGCTAACTGTGAGGTACAGGGTGACTGATGAGGTACTGGGAGGGAGGGTCTGCTGCTGATTGGCTGGAATGTGTCTGCTGACTGTGAGGTACAGGGTCAAAGTTTACTCAATGATGACATAGGGGCGGACCGAACAGCGCATATGTTCGCCGTCCGTGGCGAACCGTTCGGGACATCACTATATATATATATATATATATATATATATATATATAAATTTTAAAAAACAGTTAGTATTTTATTTTTTAACGTATTTACATATTTTTTTTGAAAATTATATATATTTAATCAATATCATTGTACGTGTATTTTGATACTAATATATATAATTATGTATATATTAATATTAAAATACACTTAATGTATGTGTATGTGTATATGTGTCTATTTATAATTAGGTCATATATATAATAAATATACACTGCTCAAAAAATAAACAACACAATGTAACTCCAAGTCAAGTCACACTTCTGTGAAATCAAACTGTCCACTTAGGAAGCAACACTGAGTAACAATCAATTTCACATGCTGTTGTGCAAATGGGATAGACAACAGGTGGAAATTGTAGGCAATTAGCAAGACACCCCCAATAAAGGAGTGGTTCTGCATGTGGTGACCACAGACCACTTCTCAGTTCCAATGCTTCCTGGCTGATGTTTTGGTCACTTTTGAATGCTGGCGGTGCTTTCACTCTAGTGGTAGCATGAGACGGAGTCTACAACCCACACAAGTGGCTCAGGTAGTGCAGCTCATCCAGAATGGCACATCAATGCGAGCTGTGGCAAGAAGGTTTGATGTGTCTGTCAGCGTAGTGTCCAGAGCATGGAGGCGCTACCAGGAGACAGGCCAGTACTTAAGGAGACGTGGAGGAGGCCGTAAGAGCGCAACAACCCAGCAGCAGGACCACTACCTCCGCCTTTGTACAAGGAGGAACAGGAGGAGCACTGCCAGAGCCCTGCAAAATGACCTCCAGCAGGCCACAAATGTGCATGTGTCTGCTCAAACGGTCATAAACAGACTCCATGAGGGTGGTATGAGGCCCCGACGTCCACAGGTGGGGGTTGTGCTTACAGCCCAACATTATGCAGGACGTTTGGCATTTGCCAGAGAACACCAAGATTGGCAAATTCGCTACTGGCGCCCAGTGCTTTTCACAGATGAAAGCAGATTCACACTGAGCACATGTGACAGACGTATCAGAGTCTGGAGACGCTGTGGAGAACGTTCTGCTGCCTGCAACATCCTCCAGCATGACCGGTTTGGCAGTGCGGGGGTTGTACTTACAGCCCAACATTATGCAGGACGTTTGGCATTTGCCAGAGAACACCAAGATTGGCAAATTCGCTACTGGCACCCAGTGCTCTTCACAGATGAAAGCAGATTCACACTGAGCACATGTGACAAACGTGACAGAGTCTGGAGACGCTGTGGAGAACGTTCTGCTGCCTGCAACATCCTCCAGCATGACCGGTTTGGCAGTGCGTCAGTAATGGTGTGGGGTGGCATTTCTTTGGGGGGCCGCACAGCCCTCCATGTGCTCGCCAGAGGTAGCCTGACTCCCATTAGGTACCGAGATGAGATCCTCAGACCCCTTGTGAGACCATATGCTGGTGCGGTTGGCCCTGGGTTCTTCCTAATGCAAGACAATGCTAGACCTCATGTAGCTGGAGTGTGTCAGCAGTTCCTGCAAGACAAAGGCATTGATGCTATGGACTGGCCCGCCCGTTCCCCAGACCTGAATCCAATTGAGCACATCTGGGACATCATGTCTCGCTCCATCCTCCAACGTCACATTGCACCACAGACTGGCAGATGCTTTAGTCCAGGTCTGGGAGGAGATCCCTCAGGAGACCATCCGCCACCTCATCAGGAGAATGCACAGGCATTGTAGGGAGGTCATACAGGCACGTGGAGGCCACACACACTACTGAGCCTCCGTTTGACTTGTTTTAAGGACGTTACATCAAAGTTGGATCAGCCTGTAGTGTGTTTTTCCACTTTAATTTTTAGTGTGACTCCAAATCCAGACCTCCATGGGTTGAAAAATTTGATTTCCATTTTTTAATTTTTGTGTGATTTTGTTGTCAGCACATTCAACTATGTAAAGAACAAAGTATTTCAGAAGAATATTTAATTCATTCAGATCTAGGATGTGTTATTTTTGTGTTCCCTTTATTTTTTTGAGCAGTGTATATATGATCTAAGTATATATAATTTAATTTTACACTGTTTTAACTTTATTTCATTTTATTTCCAGGCAGCAGGGGAAGTACCTGTCATTACAGGCACTGCCCCTGCTGGCAATGCCTTGGACGGCTATGCCGTCCATGTGATCGTGAGGTCCTCGCAAGGACCTTGCGATCACATGGCCCAGGGGGGCCGAAGAGGACGGAGGGGGACTTCCTGGGCTCCCAGGTAAGTTCCCATATCGCGATCGCCGGCATGGGATCACCGGCGACCGCGTAAGTAGAAAGGACTGTTAGGGCGTTCTATGCCTGCCTCCGGCGTTTAGAGATGGTTCCCTAAGGACGTCATAGAACGCCTGCTGTCCTTAAGGGGTTAATGTCGATGCTCTAATGACATAACTGACCAAGCCTGTCTACATTATAAACTCACTATTAATAGTGATGCTCTAATGCAGGGGTCTTCAAACTCCGGCCCCCAAGATGTTGCTGAACTACAACTCCCATGATTCTCTTGCTATCTATGTAATTCAAAGAATCATGGGAGTTGTAGTTCAGCAACATCTGGAGGGCCGCAGTTTGAGGACCCCAACTCTAATGACATAACTGACCAGGCCTGTTTTCATTGTGAACTTGCTATTAATGTTGATGTCTTACTGACATAACTAACTAAGCCTGCTTATACTATAAAAATGTGCTTGTTACTCATCTGCCCCGCATGTTACTCGAAACGAAACACCAGAGGATTGCTTTTGGGGCAACTCAAGCCTGCCTGTACTATTTACATGCATTGCAAAAAAAACAAAAAAAAATAGAGGCCACCTGGTTGAAAGTTCATGAATTAGTAAAATGGAATTAATGGTACAATGTCTCAAGTGTAGATAAGACATCAGGGAACAAGGTTTTGAAATCAGTAAATGTTTTAATGCAACTATGATTGATGCAAAATCTATGGGTACTAACATGTCAGTTTGTCCCAGTTGTTGATTGCACAAATTTACATCTATCCTTAAATGATCTTCCAGTTTGAAATAGTGTTTTATATAATCTGACACTATGGGGACTCTACTAATGCTTTATTGTTGATTGAGTCTTAAAGCCAGTGCCAATTATAAATTGATATAACACGTTTTTCTCTACAAATCGTTTGAGTATCATAGACATGCATTGCTTCTGCAGTCTATGCTGCTGTAGTCCCAGCATGTCACATGACAAAAAAAATATATCAAGTAATATATAATAACGCTAACTTCATTAAAAATACACAATTAATGAAAGTTATAATATGAGTATCTATAGATATTATATTTGGATATGCAATGGTCTAATTATTATAGTCTAGAACAGAGGTCAGCAATCTATGGCATGTTTGCCATGCATGGCACTTGAGGGGCCTATGCACAGCACTCAAGGTTGCCAGAGCTAAACAGACTCTGGCCTATCAGAAGTTCCAATGGGACTTCAGATATCTGCATGCAAACCTATTGTGATTGCAGGTGGTGAGGTACAATCTTCCATTTACTCAATGCAGCATGTAGAGGAAGTAATCTCAGATCACTTCCTCTCCGTATTTGTGAATGGGAATCTGTACTAGAATAGAGCAGCCCACAGCAGCTATCGCAGTTCCTGTCCTTGACCTGTACCTGGCCAGCCTAGTCCCCACTGGACCCCAGGGAAGCAACGCACACTGCTATATATACACAGCTGCAGAATAAGCCTCCCCTCATACAAATAATACAAACACACCACCACTGACAATCCACATACACGCACACAACCCCACAAGCAGCTTCTCACATGCAATACCATAAGCAGTCCTACACATACACACACTACCAAACACACAATGTAACATATCATTCACACACACAATTCCACAAGAAGCCTCCATACACAGCTCACGTTCATACGTATCATACACAATACTACAAATTAATCATGAACATATACATTATAACAGCCCATTTATGAACAAACACAACGTTACAAAGCAACTGCAATACCCATAAATAACCCAAGCAAAATAGGGCAGTATACTAACCTCAATTTAAAAATTAACCAGCATGCCAATGGACTTCAAGAGGCGCAGTACTACTAAAATATTGCCTACCCCTGGTCTAGAAAGTATAATTAGAGATTGTTATATACCCTATAGGTCAAGTTTATTTAATAACCATGAATGAATATGCACCTGACCTGTCATCAGTTTCAGAAATACAATTTACTATATGTCCTACTCTGCATCTTATATAGGCAGAAAACTTTTACAGCCTTCACATCCCCCTTCATATTAAATTTCT